TTGAATTAATTTGATAAACAGTGCCGAATTTAAAGCCAATGTTTTCCTTAACTAGTTACCTGAAATTGTGTCACTTTGCAAAATAAAAATTAAAAAGTACAACGGTACGTATATGCCGTRTATAAGATTAAATATCAAATATAAAATAATGATAACGTTCAACATACTAAAAAAAAAAAAAACAGAATGTATAACAGAATGGATATGAGTGATATGATTGCAAAAGCATACCTTCAGGTGTTAAGTCAAATTAGTTAATGCATAATTAGTAAATATGATAGCAGGTTTATATTAATAATTTGCTCTTATATTTTTACTCGTTGTCATATGAATTTGTATTAATTTGATACATATTTACTAATTTTATAACTCCACAAACTTCGAGGACTTACYATACCATGTTGACAATATAGTTTAACGTAAATTTCACCCAACGATTACGGAATAAATTGTAAATTGCGCCAAATACATTTTTAAGTGTCAATTTCTATGCAATATATTTTTCCTAAAAGTTTTTTAAGTAATATTATTTTCACGAGTAGATTATTTATTTTTTTAATTAAGTAAAATATTAGTTATATCATTAGGTTATAGTTATAATTAAAATATATTTGTATTATAATATAATAATTATTATAGTTTTAAATATATTATTTTTAAAAGGTAAATTATATTTTCAGTACTTAATAATTAAGTTAACTTTTTAAGTTGTATTTATAAATCATCAGTAATGCGACATAATTTTAACATATTAATATTCTATATTGTAGGTACACTTTTTTTTACAAAATACGTATTTACTAAAGATGCAATTTACAAATGGCTTAGGTACGTGTAAAATGTGTCAATATAAAGGTTTATTATTTGTAGATTATTCGAAGGAAAAAATTAGGTGTCACCTCCACCCTCAYTATATGTTTTTAAACACAATGGGTAAAAAAATCTATTTATTGTTTTTTACCCAACCCTTCAAAAAAATTAAAATTAAACTCATCACTATTTTTTAATTCTTTCAAATTCTCTAGTAAATACTTAATACCAATAATATATTTTAATTTTTTTTTTTAGTTTCGAGAAAAAATGAGAATTATTTAATTCTGTAGTGTTATCAAACATTTGAAACGCCGCGCAGTGAAAGTTCTCGTACACCCGGTAAAACACTTTCAGCGTGCCTAGTTTTAATCATATTTAATTTTTTCAAAATTAGAAAAAATATTAAAAATTAAGGAAGTTAATAAAAATAAGATTTTGAAACGTCAATATTTTCAGAAAAATAAACTCTAGAAAATGGCTATAGTCAATTTTTTTGGAAATAATTAAATAAAAAAAAATATTTTTTAACTTTTTTACTAAAACATTAAAATATGAAATAATTGTAGTTCTTAACCCTGTGAGTCTTATTACAAAACTAGGATTTTGATGTCTTCATTGTTTCGGGAAATATCGCAATGGGTGAATTCTCGCGGGACACCCTATATGTATATTTTGTAACGAAACATATGAGCAAATGGAGATATGTACCGTACATTGTACATAGATATTCGTCATGTACATCAATTTAATTTTTGAAATATACACAACCCAAGAACACCTCACCTCCATTCAATAGCTGGTAGCTGGTAACTACGTACAATATTCGTTATTTTTATACACCTTATTTTCCCGCGCAAATAACTGAAAAATAACGCTGTCTTCTCTATTGACGCGTACAATAAATGTGATATTATTATTATTACTATGTACGAGTGTAATAATATTTGAAAGGGCCGTATGGGTCTGTTAACTGTACAATAATATAATTTTTTAACACATTTTGTGCGTTAGTTTCTCATCAAATTCAATATCGAAAATGTCGTCATCGTTCGTGGTATCCAAATATGATGCGCGAGTTATTTAAAATTGTATCTACACATTGTTATTATTACGTCTTTCATCGGATCTATTCGGATTATTCACCCAACGAGGCGTGGATCATGTGAACGCGCAATGAGATTAAATTCCGCTTTCAAAATAACAAACCAATGTATAAAGTAATGTTCGTACGTATATCATATATACCGACGCCGTATACGTATAATAATATTAATAAAAAAAATGATTAAAAACTTCGCAAGCATCATCGAGGTGCTGCTGCTGCGTAAAAACATAATAATAATTATTAATATTATTATAATATAWACAAGTACGTAAAAGTTTCGAAATTTCCAACAGCGACGGCGACGGAAACACTAACGGACTATAATATGAGTTTCTTGACCTGACAGAGTGACGAAACGATAAAATAACATATTATATAAATCTCAATGCACACGTATATRATTTATATATACATACAAGTGTTGATGTGTAAGTACGTACAGTTCAATGTCATTGCACGGTATAATATTGTGTATTCGAATCGTGCAGTGATGAGAAATGTGTAGGTAATTGGCATACGCGTTGACATGTCAAAATCGAAATTGAGGTGACGACGACGCAGTTTCGAGAAAAACCAATCAATGTGTAATGTGTATCACTAAGTATAATATAATATTGTATTTGGTCGTTGGCGTCAACGGAGGTAGCCACTACGATGAAAAGGTCGGGTGATGCCTCCGTCTTACAAAGGTGTAGGTAAACTACGATGCAGAAAAAAATGTATGTTCAGCACATCAATAATTTTGTTTTATATTACMTTAAATAATATCATAAGAGTAAATTCAGCTGTAACCAGATGATTTTATAAAATAACGGGATAGACTTCTGCGTTTACTGATCATTCGAACCTACCTCAAGGATCACAAAGTATTGTGAGGAATAAAATATTATGGTATCAAAATATAATTATGTGATAATTGTTAAGAAWTTGGAGGCAGCGATGAATACGAGTAGTGATGCGTGTTGAAGAATCCAAATATGAAGAAAGCATGATTTCAACTTATCTGATCTGACAACTTGAGTCAGTGCTTACATATAAGATCTTAATCCAATACCCTCGAAACACATTAGTCATTACAATTACGCAGGTACGCGAATCATTTATTTATTTATTTTTATCTGTGTCAGTAGATYGATCCACAGAACTGCTAATAAACCCCATAAACATTCGCTGATTACGTCAATACACTAAATGTATATAAATTATATCAGCAATAGGTAAAAATATCTTTACAGTATTATAAAGTAGGATACAAAAACGTAACATTATAATCCGTAGGTACATACAATAATGTACAACTAAACTTGAGCACAAAATTAAAACTATATAATTATAATACTTTAAACTATTTAGTCTT